TTGATGATTAACAAAAGCCCAGGAACCAGCCAATGAGGTGGCCTCCAGGGCCTGGTCCCAGAGGTAGAGCAGGCCCTGCACAGTCTTCCTGGACGCCAGTCAGATGCTGAGGGAGGAGGCCAGGCTGAGGCCACCCTGGACATTCGAGGCTTTTGTGGTCACAGGTGAGAGCACACGGGTGAAAAAAAAAAGAAAAAAAGAGAGCACGCGGGTGGAAGGACAGCGCTCTGAGGGAGGCCTGGAGCCCGGACCCTCCTCTGGCTCTCAGGGCAGGGCCAGCTTTGGTGTTTGGCTCTTATGCCACCTCAGCAGCCTAAACATTTGCAACCAAGGGGGAAGGAGCCTTCGCTGAAACCTGTGCTTGGGAACACAGGCTTCCTGCAAAGTGCCGACCCTGCAGAGGGACCAAGGGTAGGGGACACATGCTCTGGCTGCTGCACGGTGTCGTCAGTGTACCGAGGAGCTGAGAGGAGAGCCTGGAAAAGGGGAAGAGGGTGGAGGGGGGTTACTGTATGTACCAGAGCTTTGTGTGTGTTGTTTTATCAGATTCTCAGAACAATCTCAGAAGGCATGTTTTGATTTTACCCTGTTGTACAGATGAAGAAATAAGCTCAGACGGGTGAACTGACATGCCCAAGGTCATACAGCTAGAAAGGAATGGAGCCAGGATCAATTGCAGGTCATTCTGACCCTGCACCTTGTCGCAGTGGCCGTGGCCCACTTCCTCAGGCAGCAGCAGAAAGACAAGCCCTTGGGGAGGGCTCTCTGGCTCCTGGGAGGTGGGAGACATGGGGGTTCTCACATGGCTTCCTCTCTCTTCCCCAGGACTGCCAGGAAGGGGTGCAGGGACACCTGGCTCTCTCTGGTGGACATCGACACTCAGACTCACAAGCCTTAAATGGCTCCTTATCACATCCGCAAATACCAGGAGATCCACCGGCAATGGGTCCTGGGCTTGTTCTCCCAGGGCATGATTGAGCACGTCCCCACCACCTTCCGCCACATCCTGAAGCTGCCACAAACACTTGTGCTCTTGCTTGGGGGGCCCCTTGCCCTGTTTCTGGTCTCTGGATCCTGGCTTCTGGCCCTCATGGCCGGCCTCGCCCTCCTGGCTGCCCTGAGGTTCCTTGCCAAATACCCCTGGACCGAGTATGTGGCCAACTCTTTGCACACAGACATGCGTGACATCACCAAATCCTACTTCAGTGACAGTGGCTCCTGCTTCTGGGTGGCTGAGTGTGAGGGGCAGGTGGTGGGCACAGTGGGAGCTCTGCCCGTCAAGGAGCCCACCCTGCGGAAGCCGCAGCTGGAGCTGCTTCACTTAAGTGTGTCCTCCGAGCACCGGGGCCAGGGGATAGCAAAAGCCCTGGTCAGGACTGTCCTCCAGTTTGCGCGAGACCAGGACTACAGTGAAGTTGTCCTTGGCACCAGCAGCCTGCAGCACTCCGCCCTGGCCCTGTACCAGAATATGGGCTTCCAGAAGACCGGCCAATACTTCAATTCCATGATTAACAGGCTAATCGCTGTTCATATAGTTCAGTTAACCTACAGGTTCCCCTCTGCTCAGGTCTCCCAGGCACCAGGGCAGAGAGGGGACCTGTGATCTGTTTCCTTGTGGATTCATCAGGTCAGGGCAGGCTCTGCAGCAGTAACAAGCTAACCCCGAGTCTCACTGTGACAACCCAGTAAAAGCTTCTGTTTGTCAACATCCAAACCCCATGGGGATGGTGGTGGTTCTGCTCCACTTAGTCTGTTTCAGTTGCCACTATTGCATTCATCTAGTGACACAAGACTGTTGCATAAAATCAATCACAAAGAATAATGCATATTATTTAGCTCAAGCCTGTGGGTCAGCAATGTAGGTTGGGCTCGGCCAGACAGCTGGTTTGTTCTCGGCCTTGTTCACAGGTCCCGGGGTTGGCTGAAGTGACAGGGTGACTGGGCTCTCTTAGGTTCCAGCAGGCTTGCTCAGGCATGGTTCAAGGTAATTGCACATGAAGCAAAGTAAAGCAGAAACAAGGAAATGCATTTTCAAGTGTCTGCAGGTCTCACATCTGCTAACATCCCAGGCTCAGCGGGAAGAAAGGGACCTGCCTCTTCAGTGCTGCAGAGTTTCAGGAGAAAGGGACTTGGAGAGAAGTGTGGGGTGAATGCAGGTGAGAAGGGTTGGGCCCAGGGAGGCCATCAGCCTGCTCTGGCCCCAGTTGCTCAGCTGAAGGGGAAGAAGGCACCAGCGTCAGACAGTGGGATGCTGACTTGCAGGCCAGACCTAGAAGTCCTGCCACCCACATGCCACTGGCTGGGACCCAGTCACATGGCCCAACATGCCTGAAGGGAGGTTGGGAAATTCGTGTCCTGGAAGAGACAATGGGATTGGCACGTCTCCCAGATCTGCCACACCTGGGAGCCTGCCTCTGTCCCCAAATGCTCAGAGACTCCAGGTTTTCATGGGCACCTCACTCAGGCCTCACACCTTCATCTAGTGAGGTGGGGCCACGTGCACCCTTCCCAGCCGGCTCATCACCAGCTCAGCTGCCCACACGTTTTGTTGCCCAGGACCATGGCCCTCAGCTTTGTCCCTCCATTTCAGTATTTTCCTGCCTGGCCTCTGAGGTCTCCCACAGTCCCCTCTGCCAGCCCATCTTCCCCCTTCAGGCCTGCGCCTTGAACATTCCCCTCACGCTTCGTGGAAAACTCGACCTTCCCAACCACCTGTGAATCGGTGCCCACACTCTAGCTTTTAAATCAAACTTCTGTGCCCCCTGGTGGTGCTCCAGCTTTGATATGTAGAGGTGGGGTCTGGGGCCCTTCCTCCCTGAGGGGCAGGAAGAGGCAGGACCTGCCCCCATCAGCTTTCCTGGGCCCAGTCAGGTGGCCCCACAGGAGGAGGTCCCACATGGGCACCACTGGTGCTGGAGACCAGGGAGTCGGTCCACGGTGAATCCGATGCTTTGAAAGGTTTTTAAAGGAACAATTAAATGTCTTTACTGAGCCTAGACAGACATGGTCCCTGTCCTCCAGGGGCTTCCAGGCAGCAGTGGACTGAGAGACTGAGGGGCAAGGGGAGATACATGGGCATAAGTGGGGGGCTGAGGGAATTACTGGCAACATGGCAGGACATCCAAAGGGCACCTACCCCCCTATTGGTGCAGGCTCCCCAGAGGGGCCAGGGCTCTGCTCCTGAAAAACAAAATCAGGAATGAGAGTGCCCATCACCTGCTCCAGTCCCCTGCACACACTGCCCAGCCACACTGAGTTGCTCTAGTTCTTTCAGTAAATGGAAGTTCTTGCCCTGACTGGGTGGCTCAGTTGGTTGGAGCGTTTGTCTGCTTCGGTTGAGGATTTGATCCCTGGTCAGTGCACTTACCTGAGGCAACCATAATCAATATTTCTCATACTGATGTTTCTCTCTCCCTCTCTCAAATCAATAAATATATCCTCAGGTGAGGAAAATAAATAAATAAATAAATAAATAAATAAATAAATAAATAAATAAATAAAGCTCTCTTTGTGCTTGAGGCCTTCGCACATGCTGTTCCCTCTGTCTGGAACCTTCTCCTTCAACCTCTCCTCCGCCCATCCTCTATGTCTGTTCGATTCCTACACTTTTCAGCTGAGTGGCAGGGGTAATTGGGTTGGGGAGGCAACCTTCGAGCAGAGAGGAAGCAGTTCATCTACCTCTATTCTGGCAGATACAGCTATTTAGTGCCTGCTAATCAAAGGGTAGTCCCCAGACCAGCAGCAGGATATTGCCTGGAAGCTTGTTCAAAATCAGTGTAAATATGGAGGTTATTGTGCTCACAAGGTAATGTTAGCACCTTTGCATTAATCCCTGACAGTTTTCTTCTAAATGCAGCATGGCACCAGCCTCCCATGGGCCTCCGCTCCACCTTAGGCAGAGGAAGGCAGGGTCTCCTTTTGGTCCAACCTCCCTACTGCCTAGTTGGCCCAGTGATGGGGCTGATGTGGTCTAACAGCAGGAACAGAGGCCAGCCCACCCAGGCTGGTTACTCCTTGGCCCATCTTCCCCAGACCAAATCCACACTGCCAATGGAGTCTTTTTTAAAATTTTATTTTTCTATTACAGTTTTTTTTTAATATATCTTTATTGATTTCAGAGAGAGGAAGGGAGAGAGAGAGGAGAGAGAGACATCAATGATGAGAGTCATTGACCGGCTGCCTCCTGCAAGCCCCCTACTGGGGATGGAGCCCACAACCCGGGCATGTGCCCTGACCGGAAATCAAACCTTGATCTCCTGGATCCTAAGTCGATGCTCAACCCCTGAGCCACGCCTGGCCGGACCTATTACAGTTTACATTCAAAATGTTTTGTGTTAGTTTCAGGTATCCAGATAGTGGTTAGACAACCACATACTTTACAAAGTGATCCCCCTGATATTGCCAGTACCCATGTGACACCATACATAGTTATTACAATATTATTGACTATGTTCCGTATGCTGTACCTTACATCCTGTGACTATTTTGTGACTACCATTTGTACTTCTTAATCCCTTCACCTTTTTCACCCATCCCCTAACCCCCACCCCCTGTGACAACCATCAGCCTGTTTTCTGTATCTATGAGTCTGTTTCTATTTTGTTTGTTTATATTGTTCTTTAGATTCCACATATATGTGAAATCATATGGTATTTGTCTTTCTCTGTCTGACTTATTTCACTTAACATAATACCCTCTAGGTCTGTCCATGCTGTCACAAATAGTAAGGTTTCATTCTTTTTTATGGCCAAGTAATATTCCATTGTATATATGTGCCACAGCTTTTTTTTTTTTTAA